GCCCCCAGAACCACATGGGATTCTCCAGGCAGCACTCTGTTCCCAGGGGGAAGGGTCGTGAAACTTCCGATCAAAGTTATTCTTGTAGAATTGGTTGCACTAGGCTGGTTTCCTTCCTTATCCTTTCAGAGAGCTGATAGATTATTTTCATTTTGGTTTTGGTTTCATGCCTTTTATTTTTTATTATAAAAGTAATGTGTGTGCTCATGATTAAAAGTGGAGATAATGCAGAAGCATATTAAAATAAAAAGTAAAATTCCCTTGATCCTGCTTCTCAGAAGTAACCATTATTAAAAACATTTAAAAACTAGTAAATGAAAAAAAAAAACTAGTAAATGGCCTTTCAGTTATTTTTATATATTTACAACTATAATACAGGTAACATTTTTGCGTCATAAAAATGGGATAATACCGTGCATACTGTTCAACAGCTAGCTTTTTAATTTATTTCTCATGGACATCTTTCCATGCCAGTATAATACAGAACAACCTCATTCTTTTTAATGGTGGCATAGTGCTACATCATATGGTTATACAGTAGTTTATTTAATCATTCCCCTGTGTGCATTTTTGGTTATTTATACATCTCTATTGTTGTGAATAATGTATGAAATGTACATCTTTTCACACTTGTAGAAGTATTCCAAAGAGAGATCTGTAGAAGCAGAATTGCTGGGTCAAGTCTATCAATGTTTAAATTTTTGATGGAAGCTGCCAGATAGCACTCCATGAAGGCTGGATGGAAACTATTGAGACTCTGAATAAATACTTACGTTTAGTTACCCCTTAAAGTGTTGTGTTTAGCACACACTTTGGCCTTTAACTCTTCCCTTCTGAGTTCCTAGGAGTCTGGCTGACTTTCTGTGTTCGTTGAAACCTAAAATCTGAGCAGAGGGAGGCAATAGAAGAGTGAGATGATCCATAAGTGGGATACTCTGCAGAGTGGGCGTGGCTTCAGTGGAGTGGAGTCAGGGCTGGGCTTTCAGGACCCCGCCGGTCCAGCCTTCTGTAACCCCCAAATGCCTGGACATGGCCTGCCTTGAAAAGAGCCCGGTAGGAGATGGGCGGACAGTGGGGCATAGACTGAATGGCCACGCTGTCCAGGGCAGGGTGTGTCCTCTGCTTGAAGTTTATGTCCTAGTGGGGAAGGTGGACAGTAAACAAACAGATGTGTGGATGTTTTGGGCGGTGACAAGTGCTGTGAAGAAGAATGAAGCAGGTGAGGGGCAGAGTGGCAGGTGGCAGGAGGGCTGTTTTACCTGGAGTGTCAGGCACAGTCTCCCTGAAGATTGCCATCTGTGCAGAGACCTGAATGAGCAGATGAGTGAACCAAGCCTAAGGTCTTGGGGAAGCATATTCCACGCAGAAGGAGCTCAAGCTAACGTGACCAGAATGGGAGGAAGTACAACAAGTCTGAGCACCAGCAAGGCTGGCAGTGTGGCTGGAGTGTGTGAGCAGGTGCAGAGGGATGTGTGTGTGTGTGTGTGTGTGTGTGTGTGTGTGTGTATTAGCTAGGGTTCTCCAGAGACACAGAACCAGTAGGAGATACATACGTACATACATAGCATATTTTATATAGGAAAATAATATATATTTATGTATTAATACATTTATAATACAGAATATCCTATTATATTTATTATGAATAACATATATACTATTACATATATACCTTAATGTAATATATTTTAATATATAATTATAATAAATATATAAATATATTTTTAAATATATAGATTTTAATATATTTTTATATATTTATAAATATATATAATATATAAAAATGTATTTATTATATATTTTAAATATGTAATTATGTCTATACATATATTCATATATAGTATATATATAATTATAGAATATAGTATAGAGTACATATATAGTATAGTATAGTATATATTATATATATTATAGAATATAGAATACATATATATAAAAAGAGATTTATTGTGAGGAATTGGCTCACATGATTATGGAGGCTGAGAAGTCTCAAGACCTGCAGTCAGTGAGCGCATGGTGTAGGTTCCAGTCCAACGGCAGGAGAAGACTGATGTCCCAGATCAACCAGTCAGGCAGCTGAAGTTCCTTCTTACCCAACCTTCTGCTCTACTCAGGCCTTCAACAGATTGTATGAGGCCCCCCACACTGGGGAGAACAGCCTGCTTTACTCAGTCTGCCAGTTCAAATGTTACTGTCATCTAGAATAAGGTATGACCAAATGCCTGGGCAACCGTAGCCCCATCAGGTTGACACATAAAATGAACTCCCACAGGTGTCTGATGTAGCCTAGGGACCAGCACTTCTGGGCTGTGCTGTTCATTGGCCCACAGTCAGTCAGTGAGCCCTTGAAATATGACCAGTGCTGGACACTGAAGTGATGTTCAGCATGTTGGTTTAAATAAAACATATTATTACAGGTAATCGCACTGGACTTTGTACATTTTACATGTTGTTGGTAGAAAATTTGAAATTACATAAGTGGCTCACATTGTATTTCCGTTGGGTAGTGCTGGTCTGTAGGGCCTTGTTAGTGTGGCGAGGAGTCTGCATTTCACTCTGAGTAGCTTGGGAGGTGAGAGGAGGGTTTTGAGATTGGGAATGACTTGCTCTAAGTTAGGTTGAAGTTAATTCACCTGCTGCCCTGGGGGCATATGCAGTAGAGGGGCGGCGGTGGTGGCAGCAGAGCTGGTGGGAGGCCTTGAAGAAGGAGGAAGGGGCGATGGTGACCTGGGCTCTGCAGGGGCAGTGGGGAGGGGGAAGAAGTGGTCAGACCTGGGAGATGTTCACCGAGGAGATCCAGCAAGCTTTGCTGATGGACTGAATGGGGGCTGGGAGCCAAACAAGGTGACTCCTTTGTGTGTTCGGCCTGAGCACAGTGAGTGAAGGGTGGAGCCGTTTGCTGAGATGGGAAAGGCTTGGGGTATGTTCACTAAATGCGTGAAGCACCTTTTTTGAGAGTAGGAAGAAAAAAAGTAGTGGCTAGACATTCAAAAGGGAACTCAGACCTTAGAAGAGGTAAACCAACAAGACTGAAACAGTTTGTCCAAAGGCGGTAAAACAGAGGAGGTGCTCACAGGTGTGTGGGAAGAACGGCAGGAGACAGGTGGACAAGGATAAAGTGGGGTGAGGCAGGTCCGATGGTGTCGGGAGAAGCAGTAGCCCAGTCAGGCGGCCAGAAAAGGAGACAGGGACAGAGAGGTTGGCTCCAGATACCTGCCTCCCTCTCCAAAGCCTGGAAATGATCTCTCCCCAGTCATCCACACACACACACACACACACACACACACACACACACACACACACACACACTTGCACGC